TAATATTCATTCAGATTCTCAGGAGTTTCAGAGATGCCAAATAGGGGACAAGATCTAAAATCTCTCAAGCTTAAACACCACAACTGTACTTTTAAATACAGAGGTGGGATAAACAAACTGGGGGAAAACATACTAGAAAGAGAAATAGATTTGAGAACCAGTTCAGTGCTTCTCAAGAGTATAAAAACCAATGAAATTATTTTTATCAGATGAGTTGTGGTGACTTTTGAACGCACATTTTCCTCTGTGAAATCCTTGCATAGATTTTCACATAATTCTGCCCCAAGGGGAGGTAAAAAGGAGAGAAAAACCACAACGAAACTCAAAATCAGATGCAACATCAGTTTACTGACAAACAGTCAAGTAGCATTCAGCAAAAACAAAGGGAAAATATATATCTATGAAGGGAAAAGAAACCATTCCAACTGAGAGACAGAAAGCAAGACTCCACCTTTCCGTAATTCCTGAATAAAACCCCTCCACTGACTGTTGGCAATCACAGCATCAAACCACCGTGAAATGCAAAATCAGAGACAAGGAAACTCTTCCAAAGCAGGATTTTTCAAGGCTGAAACAGGCTGGCCATGAGACCAGACAGCACCTCCCTCCTTCCCTCCTTGTCAGGAGGGCAGGAGGGGCCCCGAGGCCTCTGGAAAGGCTGGCCAGCAGCTCCAGGGGACACTTGGCCTGGGGAGGCACTCGCTGGACGCGCGGCCCGGCTCTAGCAGGGCAGGCACCTGCGGCCGCAGTAGCGGCCACCGAGGCCGGAGAGCCCCGAGAGGCCAAAGCCCCCCGAGTTGATGGGCACTCCCTCCTCGCTGAGGATGCTGCCCACGGCGGCGGAGGTGGAGGATCCCACGGCGGTGTTCTGGGGGAAGGAGCTGAGGATGGGCCCGGGCAGGGTGACCACCACGGGCGAGGGCTGGATGACCACGCGGGAGTCCTGGCACTGGCGCACACAGGGCTCGTTGCAGCTGTTGGCCAGCGGGGGTGGGGCCGCAGGGCCGGCACAGGTCGTAGCAGGACATGGCTGGGGCTGGAGGAGAACCTGCGGAAGGCAGGGAAAGCACCCACGGGCTGTGAGACACACAGGGAGATGCTGCTCACAGGAGGAAACACAGCCTGGGCAGAAGGGACAGCCTGGAGAGGGAGCAAGGGAGGAACCCAACAGCCCTGAGCCCAAAGAGTTCCCTGCAAAGAAATCCCAACATCTCCCACCTCTCCCCAGCAAAAAACAACCACAAAAACCTGCGGAGAGCAGGATCAAGGAGAAAGACTCTCAGAGAGCCCTGTGGAGAGGCAAAGATTCCATTGAGGGTCAAGAAGAGAAGAGAAGAGAAGAGAAGAGAAGAGAAGAGAAGAGAAGAGAAGAGAAGAGAAGAGAAGAGAAGAGAAGAGAAGAGAAGAGAAGAGAAGAGAAGAGAAGAGAAGAGAAGAGAAGAGAAGAGAAGAGAAGAGAAGAGAAGAGAAGAGAAGAGAAGAGAAGAGAAGAGAAGAGAAGAGAAGAGAAGAGGGAGGCAAAGGCCCTTGCAGCTCACCTGTGTCACAGAGGAGGACAAGGCAGGAGAAGTGGATGAGGGATCCTCACTTGCTCTGCCTTTTATACTGTCCCACACAGCCCCGGGCCCACGGGCACCCTCGGCACATGGAACGTGTTTACCAAGCTCATATTTTATGCAAAACATCCCCATTAGAGAAATGGGGACACTGCAATGCTGCTTTTTCATTTCCCTGTGCAGGACATGCCCAGTCAGCCTCCCAGGCTCCTTTCAAGTGCCAGCATTAGAGGCCAAAACGTGTCTGGGGGCAGTGCCACGTCAGCAGGGCCGGGTGATGCAGCCGGTGCTGAGCAGTGTCCGACATCCCAAATAATTCCAGTCCTGGCCCTCCAGGGCAGGACTTTAAAGTGTTTCCTGATGATGGGGCTGGGCTCCTCAGGGCCCTGAGGCTCCAGCCTGGCCATTCCCCTGCAAGGGTCAGCTCTGTCCCTCATATCTGTCCCTGTCCAGGCTGGGCACTGCTGTTCTGGCCTTGGCCGGGGTGGCCCAGGGGGGTTTGGGGTCGCCATCCCTGGATGTGTCCAAGGGGAAACTGGACATGGCACTGTGTGCTCTGGGCTCTGTGACAAAGTGGAGATGGATCCCAGGTGGGACTTGATGTTCTGGGAGAGCTTTTCCAATCCCAGGGGTCCCCTCAGGTGAGGGACCAGCCCCAGTCCAGCCCCGTGATGCCAATGTCCAGCAGGGGATATGGGGCTGCCTCTGCACTTGAAAGTCCTGCCCTGGAGGGCCAGGGGCTGCCACCAGATGGTCAGTGGGACACTTCTGAGCCCTGGCTGCTTCACCTGGCCCTGCTGACAAATCATTTTCCCTGGAAATATTTTGGCCTCTAATCTTGGCACTTGAAAGGAGCCTGGGAGGCTGACTGGGCACGTCCAGCACAGGGAAATGAAAAGGCAGCGTTGCAGGGCAAAAATAAAAACACTAATTTTTGTAATTGGGATGTTTTGCATGCGAGATGAGCTTGGTAAACACATTCCCTGTGCAAAGACTGTCCCTGGGCCCGGGGCTGTGTAGGACAGTATAAAAGGCAGAGCAAGTGTGGGATCCCTCATCCACTTCTCCTGCCTTCTCCTCCTCAGTGACACAGGTGAGTGCTTTCCTCTGTTTCCATTTCTTTTCCTCTGTCTCTTCTGGCTCCCACTGGGGCTTCGCCTCAGTTTTGTTGGGACAGTTGGTGGACATCTCCACTCTCTGTGCCACACTGGAGGGAGGTGGGAGAAGGTCTTGTCTGTGTTTTTAGGCCCCTCTTGGGGATTGCAATTCCTTGTCCTTTCTATCTCCCTCTCCAGGCCGTCCTTTCTGCCCACTCTCTGCTCTTTCTTCTGCCCAGCAGCATCTCCCTGTGTGCCTCACAGCCCGTGGGTGCTTTCCCTGCCTTCCTCAGGTTCTCCTCCAGCCCCAGCCATGTCCTGCTACGACCTGTGCCGGCCCTGCGGCCCCACCCCGCTGGCCAACAGCTGCAACGAGCCCTGTGTGCGCCAGTGCCAGGACTCCCGCGTGGTCATCCAGCCCTCGCCCGTGGTGGTCACCCTGCCTGGGCCCATCCTCAGCTCCTTCCCCCAGAACACTGCCGTGGGATCCTCCACCTCCGCCGCCGTGGGCAGCATCCTCAGCGAGTCCGGGGTCCCCATCAACTCGGGGGGCTTTGGCCTCTCGGGGCTCTCCGGCCTCGGTGGCCGCTACTGCGGCCGCAGGTGCCTGCCCTGCTAGAGCCGGGCGACGCGTCCAGCGAGTGCCTCCGCAGGCCAAGTGTCCCCTGGAGCTGCTGGCCAGCCTTTCCAGAGGCCTCGGGGCCCCTCCTGCCAAGGCGGGAGGCAAACGTGCCCACCTGAGGCTTCTGCTTGTCCTGCTTTCTCCTGCGCCTCCCCGGGCCCTGCCGTGCCCTGCTCTGCTGGCCCAGGGGCTCAGCCCCGGCCCAGCCCGGCCCCGGGGTCCTGCTGCTCCCACTGGCCCCGTGCCCGGGCCAGGCAGACCTGTGTGCCACTGCTGGCCAGGCCTGCCTGCCCACCCCTGCTTTGGTTCTGTCTTCACACGCAATAAAGTTCACTCTGCATTGGAACTGGAGTCTCCTGGAGTTCCTTCCCTTTTGGGATCCCCAGATAAAGCTGTTTCATGGGGGAGGTCACAAAGTCACAGTTTTTGGGGTTGGAATACCCTTCCAGAGGTTACGTGGCCCAACCCTTGCTCAGGTGGGATAGCCTTGAGGGAGTTGCTTTAGATGCCAATGGCTTCTCGATCTCTCCAAGGATGGACACCCCATAATAACCTTCCTGGTCCATGTGTTCCATCAGTCAGTAGAAAACATTTCCTGGGACACCTTCCATGGTTCGTGTCCTGTGGGAGAGGTTTTACAGTGACTTCTGTGAGCCAGAGAGAAGTTTGAGAAGAGGAGCCATGTTCACCCCTGAAAGAATTTCCTACCAAGGTCCTTGACACAGAAACCAAGAAAGAAACAAGGAGAAATAAGAGAAACCTGCAACTGCCTATTGCAATAAACACTTTGTCTTTCCTAACCAATGGGTAAATTTATGAGCTTTGTAAGAATGTCTAAAAACGCATTCATGCTATAATAAAACCAGGTTTGAAGCCTTCTGAAAATGGAGGGTTGCTTTGTGTCATGACCATCTCATCTACAATGTCCTTCATGCAACAGAATCCCAAGGAGTTGTCACCCTTCTCTTCTGCCACCACAGCATCCCCTGCTCCCTCCTGTCCCTCCCGGAGGGCTCAGGGCTGCAGGCACAGCTCAGGAGGCCACAGGGACACATTGGACATGGGGAGAACATTGCTGGGGTGTTGAATTGTGTGAGTGGTGATGCAGAGGAGGACAAGGTGCTCCTGCTTCCTCCCACATCCTCTACTCCCTGTCATTCAGGGAATCACAGAATCGTGGAATATCCAGATTGTAAGGGACCCAGAAATCATCAAATCCAACTCC